GGGGGGGGGGGGGGTTATGGACATTGGGGTATGTGCTATGGTGAGTGCTGTGAAGTGTGTAAAACCTGGCGATTCACAGACCTGTACCCCTGGGGATAAAAATACATTATATGTTTATTTAAAAATTTAAAAATTAAAAATTAAAAAAAAAAAAACCACCATTTTCAGCTAATCAAAACCTAAGAGGAGTTGGTGCCTATCCTGTAGATATTCACCAAAGGAGTTCTTCATGCAGAAGGAAAAAATCCCAGGTGGAAGAATGCAAATGGAGGAAGTAGTAAACAGTAAAGGGCAAATATATGGTTAAAAATAAATAATATGGGTTATTTAAAACAAAAAACAAAAAATTGTGGGCCCACAAGATCAAAGAGCAAGCATTTCTCCCTTTCTCCTTGAGGTTGACATCTAATTGTAAGAAAATTACAACGTGATTTGACATTGCATATCCATCAAGATTTGAAACTTGAAGAGAAATGTTTATTTCCTGAAAAGACCTGGAGGTGATAACCAGTATAGTCTTGCACAGTGGAGATCAGGTGACTTTTTAGGACAAGCCTTGGATGTTCATGCAGTGTCAAAGATCAGACAAGACTCCGTGGCTAACAGGCTGCCAAGACATGCTCTAGAGCTAAAATATCTGAAGGGTAGCCACAGGGCACACTGGCTATCAAAATTTAATCAAATTAAATAGCACTAAAAAAAAAATAGTGGTTGGTTAACAGTAATTACACCATTTTATTCTTATGTGAAAAATTAACAGGACATGATCTAGAATAGACTTACTTCAGTAAAAATAATTAAAGAACCTGAATTGACAGATGGGTATTCATTTTACAATTCTTATAACTTCTATGCTTGAAATTTTTCATAATAAAATCTTGAAAAAAGTTTAATAGGACTATAAATTCAGTTATACTAGCCACATCTCAAGTACTTAAGTTGCCACGTGTAGTAGTTAGTGGCTACTTTATTGGTCGACAGATACAGAACATCTCTATTATGTCAAAGAAGTTTATTGGACAGACCCACTCTAGAACCGAGCTCAGGAATACTGGCAAACCTTCAGAAATCAATTCTTCCCAATAAGGTCAGTCCTGACGTCCCAGGGCAAGTGAATTATCACTACTAGGACTGCACACATTTAAAGACTGGGGGTTCAGATGGGGGACTAACAATACCAGGGGCATAGTTACTAGCAGGGGAAGTTAATGAAAGAGGGTGCAGAAAACTGAGAATCATAAGTTGAACCATGCTCTTAATAGTGCAGATACACACACACGTGCATTAAAGTCTCGATTTTAAATAACTTGTAATGCTGAGAACTCATTTAATTCCTACAGAAACACAAATTACATTCTGAAATATCTTATAGACAAAAATCTACTGTGAAAAAAGGAATAAGGGCATAATAGAAGATGTATTTCAACTGGGGTGCTGACCTGACTCTCATAACTCTTTAGACAATTACTGATTATACCAAAAATATTTAAATTTTAAGAATTCCTGAGGGGTTTGGGATACATGTGAAAAATCCAGAATCTTCTGTAAACAACTTCTATAGGCACCAAAAAATTACAGACCATTAGGTATGGAAGAAATAAGAAGACATCTGCAATTGCCCTTAAAGGATAAAAATCTGGCATCACATTTCTGCCTGAAAGAACTTCTACCATAGGATGTACCTACTAGAACAATTCTTTATTACCTTAAAGTGAACACAGAGACTTAGCCTTCTGAAAAAAAAGAAAACAAAAAACCCACTCTCCATCCAGGCTTTGATATGTTTTATTACAGCAAACTTTCAACAAAAGGTTGCTTTTATTTACAGAATTTCATGTGTGAGAACTATCCAGACCACTTGGACCCAAGCTGAGAATAACCATTAAGGCTGTTTATGTATTTTCTTATTGTTAGTTGGCATACAAAAAAAAACAACAACAAACAAACCTTCACATTTATAAAAATCCCAAGAGTGTAAATGACAAACCCATCCCTTAATTAAATATAAAAACAGCTTCAAAAACATACAATTTAGATTGGTTTAATCTTGAAATGTAATCCAATAAGACTAAAAACTAAACATTTCAGGTCCTGCACCAAATAGTAAAATACTCGAAGGCCTTCAGGATCCCTAAAATTTAAAAAGGTAAAAGTTACTTTTTTGTTCCTAAGATGAAACACATAATTTTAAAGTCAATTCCCAAAACAAAACACACACCAAAACAAAGGAATTCAGGAGAAAGGAAGGATTTGCTGCAACTAAAATGAACATACTGATCACCATTTCTGTCTTTTCTAAAAAATATATAAATCTCTTCACCAGTAATAATAATTTTATATTAGTATTTATTTCCTTATAAAAAGAAATAGCTATACATAGTAAGAATGTAGAAAGCAGATAAAATTATAAAGATAGAAAAAAATAATACTCATAATACTATAAAATGTCATTCCTCACAGGATAACTATAAATATTTTGGCATTTCTCTATTTTCATACCTAAAATCATTCCCTGTGCCCTTTTTAACATTATTTTTCCCTCTTTATAACACACATCCTCCCCAACATCCATCACCCAGTTACCCATCCCCCACCCCCAGCAACCATGAATTTAAAATGTTAGCAGCTTCATGATGTAATGAACACTGGGTATTATAGAAGACTGATGAATCAGTCTACCTCTGAAACTAATAATATATTATATGTTAATTAATTGAATTTAAATAAAAATAAAAATAAAATAAATTTTTAAAAATGAAATGTTAACAGTTTTTGATGAATAATTATCAAACTGCTTCCCAAAAAACCCTGTACCAATTTTAAATCCCAGTTAGGGTATGAACACCACATCCTCATCAACTGTGGGAAAATCAGCTTGATAATTCAAAAGTATCTGATTGGTCTTTTAGAAACACAGTCTTCTGTATCCAATAGTTACTATACAGTCATTCCTTTTTTCCTTCCTCTAATAAATATTTACAAAGCACTTCTTGTGTGCCAGGCACTGTGCTAACTTTGGTGACATAGCAAGGTTCTCACGGAATTCACATTCAAACCAGAAAAGCAAACAAGTAAGTTCTTACAATTTAAGATGACAGAAGAAAGAGCACTAAGAAAACATTTTGAGGCATACGAGAAAGAAGAAGTGGAAGAAAGAAATTTTGGGGGCAAAAACAATAGAAAGGCCCAGAGGAAACAAACTTGGGAAGACAGAAGAAGCTAAAACCACACTTAAGTTATACTGATTTTCTTCAATTTCTTTCAAATATTAAACTCATGGAGGAGAATGACGCGATATTAGGCTAATGAGGCTGATATAATCCAATAAGGACTTCTTTTAAATTTTATGAAACCCTACCTAGGTTTTTACCAAAAATAGCTATTAAAATTTGCTCACTGTTATGCAGTGGTCAGATTAAATTTTTTTTGACAATCAGAAAAATAAACTGCTAATCACTTTGACAGGAAGTCTTTAATGACATAAAAGTCAGAATTATATCTGCAGAATAAACTGATTAAGTGGACACTGAAATAATCCTAGAAAACTGGCTATGGTTCTAAAATGAGCCTCTCAAATCAATTATGTCAATTTATTTTTTTAGATTTTATTTATTTGTCAAAGAAAGAGCACAAGCAGGGGAGTGGCAGGCAGAGGGAGCAGGCTCCCCTCTACCCCACTGAGCAGAGAGCTGGATGTGGGACTCGATCCCAGGACCTTGGGATCATGACCTGAGCCGAAGGCAGACGCTTAACTGACTGAGCCATACAGACATCCCTAAATTACATCAATTTAGTTAAAATACTTTAGCATACTTACTTTGACTGATTTACATCAATAAGAGAACCTATTTTGGATGTGGTAAAAGAAATGTGTTCATCTCCAATTACAATTTCCAGCTCCTGAAAAAAATAAAATAGATTGCTGTAGTTAATGTAAAACTCCACCTCAACGGTGTCTAATCCTTGTTACCAAGAGGTCCCAATTTAGCTGCAAGTTTTCTAGCAGTCACAGAGGAGAAAGAAAAGAAAAGGAAAAGGAAAACAAATGGAAAAGAATGATAGACATAAACTATGTCTATAAAATAAAAACCTCATCAACTGCTCAGGAGTCCCTAGTATTAGGATCAACCAAGAATAGCTTTCCAGAAATCTCAGAAAGAAGACACCATAAATATGAATGATATATGTAAGAGTACACACAAATATTTCTTAAATCAGTAAAAACTAAAGATACAACTTTGAAGCACAATTGTGTAAATATGGGTATAAACCTATTTTTAATAAATAAATACAAGCACATTTAGTCTTTCTATCAGACTTTATAAATACAATGTGTAATACTAACAGCATCGCTTTGGCATCTACTAGGTAGGAGACCCTGCCATTAAGGACTTTACAAACATACTCTGTAAGCCCTAAGACACCCTTCTCAGGGTATTTTATAAATGCACAATACCAGACGCATAAAGCATAGGGAAAAAACAATGATGTATTTACAACCATAAGTAAGCAAAGGTATTGGTATTTGAGTCCTCGGCTGTTAAGATTGAAAGACTCACCCTGGTTTGACTTCACAAAGCACTGAAAATTAAGACCTAGGGGCGCCTGGGTGGCTCAGCGGGTTAAGCCTCTGCCTTCGGCCCAGGTCATGATCTCAAGAGTCCTGGGATCGATCCCCGCATCGGGCTCTCTGCTAGCAGGGAGCCTGCTTTCCCCTCTCTCTCTGCCTGCCTCTCTGCCTACTTGTGATCTCTGTCTGTCAAATAAATAAATAAAATATTAAAAAAAAGAAAATTAAGACCAAGTAAAACAAATATGACACACTATGACATTCTTAGTGTGCCATAATTATTGTAGAAATTGTTTTCTAGATTTTATCTGCAAATCTAAAACCAATAATTAAGAGGCTATGGCTATAGTGATTTACCGAGTTAAATAACAAATGCCAATAAAGATGATCTTAGCTCTGTACTTCATTACGAGACCTAATTATGTACAGTTTTTGGCACACACAAAACAGAGAACTAACTAACGCTCTCAAACGATCAAAAAATCTTTGACTCAAAGATCCAATAGATGATTTCTGGAACATGCCTACCCCTCCCCACTAAAACATATGAACATATCAAAACCTAGATGAAAATACTGGGTTATCCCTGAGTCTAAAAGAGATAAAAGGTTTACTGCTGTGGTATCTATTTTTTAGTACATATGTACCTATTGCATCAAACAAACCGAGATTTAAATTTACTTTCTAGAAGTGTTTACAATGCAGAACATAAATTCTGTTAACTTTACCTTTGCTTTCCTAAATGCTTCCTTAAAGAGAAGAGGAGTTAAGTGACTGCTACAGAATGTCACCATTTATTTGATTTCTCCACATTTTCGCCTAGTCAAAGAAGGGGATATTAAGTATAATCCTCAGGAATATACAAAAGTGAAATTAAGTGTTTCTTCCTCCAGGAGTTGTATCTCATTTAAGAGCTGAAAAAACCCAGTCAAACTGTCTCTCTACAAAGTGAAATTAAGCCTTCAAACTTCTCCAGAAGCCCTTTGAGAAACATTAATTACTCCATAGGGAATAGGAGGCAAAAGTAATGGTCAGTTTGAACAGAGAAACCAATCAAATCCTTCTCTGAGGCATAAGGGTGCAAGTGAAGAGTTCTCAACATTATGAAAACCAAGAAAGTGAATTCTACAGTCAATAAGAATCCTCTCTTGAATTTCACAAACAGCTGTAGTTATTCCTAATAGAAGTAATTAATATTCAATAGCAATTATCCATAACAGGAAAACATCCTAACTTTAACTGGTGAGGCTACAGAGAAGACTGGTCAGAGAGAAGTCTAAATGTAGAGCTCTGTACTGACTCCTTTCCTATTCAGAGGTAGTACAGAAAATGAGACTAAGTAAAATAAAATTAAAGAGTATTTACTGGGTGCCTACTAAATGGAAAAGCAAAAAATCAATGAGGATCTATGCTAAATAAATAAGAAGAAACATAAAAATTACATCACCAATTTCTAACATGTGTGCACATAAAGAACAACTGAATACAAACCTGTCGGCCAACTCTGTCAGGGGGAGGCCACAATGCATCATCTTCTTTTGTAATTTCACTGTCATCAATAATCCTCTTCAGTTCCTCCATTACACTCTTGTGCACATAAGCCTGAGAATAAATTACAATAAAAATTCTGCAATGTCTATTACTTCCCACAATTCAGAATGAAATAACAAAGTTACAAACCCTAAATATTCAAAGAGACTGTCACAGAAAAATCTAATACTGATCCCAAAATACAAGATGGGAGAGAATCACTCATCCTTAAGATTTTATTAACTCACTTTCCCTTTCCTTTAATATGTATTTGTCTCCAAATTAAAAAAGAAAAAAAAGATAACTTACACTAGCCTCCTTTTAAAACCCTGGATTTTGCCTTTATAACATGGGACTCAAATACCTCTGAATAGTTAACAATGATAACAGAAAATCTGTGAGGCAAACAGAGACGAATACAAGTAGACATTACAGTTACTGCTCTGAATTTTTTCTTACCCCTAACTTTTGAGCCTTTCATTTAAAATTCATACTGTGGGGCGCCTGGGTGGCTCAGTGGGTTAAGCCGCTGCCTTCGGCTCAGGTCATGATCTCAGGGTCCTGGGATCGAGTCCCGCATCGGGCTCTCTGCTCAGCGGGGAACCTGCTTCCCTTCCTCTCTCTCTGCCTGCCTCTCTGCCTACTTGTGATCTCTGTCTGTCAAATAAATAAATAAAATCTTTAAAAAAAAAAAATTCATACTGTGCTTAAATCTTGATTATTGGGCACCTGGATGGTTCAGCTGGTTAAGCGACTGCATTCGGCCCAGGTTATGATCCTGGAGTCCCAGGATTAAGTCCCACATCAGGCTACCTGCTCAGTGGGGAGACTGGTTTACCCTCTGACCCTCCCCCTTCTCGTGTTCTCCCTCTCCCTCTCTCATTCTCTCAAATAAATAAATAAATAAAATCTTTTTTTAAATAAATAAATAATCTTGACTATCAATTAATTTAAACAGGGAATGGGATAAAAAGACAAACCTACGTAGGAAATGAATGAAATTATATGTTCAAAGGTGGGACAACTTAATATATTCAGATTGCTTCTTTGGCGTTACACATGCTACATTTAGATCTAATTTAAATGGACTCCTTTTTCTATCTATAAATTGGCTTCTTTACAGCAATACAACCTTAGATGTACTTTTGTAAATTCTTAAGACATAAAGAAAATGTTCTAAATGTAAAAAATTAAACAATTGGAAAGAACTTACCTCCTTTCTGATCATGACATCATTTTTGTAATTGCTGTTGTTGGCATATCTAAGCTTTCCTGTGGGGAGTGGAAAAAAAATTCACTCTATAACAGCAAAAACTGCTAAAAAAATAATAAAGATATGACATTGTAAGCAATTTCAAAGGTAAAGACTGTTTTATAGTACTACTTTTATTAATATTTCCACCTTTTAGCATAAGATCAATGTTAGACCTATAAACACTCAAATATTTGTTGGTAAGAAGTTGGCTACAACTGAAGCCAGTCATTTTCAAAACTTTCATGCTTTCAATAGAATTTTTAAATATTCAACATAATTTTTAAATATTTCATACCTTCAATATAATTCAGTATAACAGGAGGGTCATTTTTAAGGCACGTTTGCTTAAGCTATGTCATGAACTAGACAGGGAATTCGAAAAGGAACTAACATTTCTTTTAAAGCCTGTTATATATCTGTATTGGCCCTAAGTGATTTACCCAGAAAATTTAATTTAATCGGTAAAACAATCCTTAAAATGTTTTATTCTCTCATCTACTTACACTTGAGAGAACAGAGTTAAGTAACTTGCTCAGGGTCAAAAAGATTCATCTCTAGGTCTACCTTCTTCCAATACTCATGTTTTCCCCAATACTCCAAAATGTTCTTTTAATTACTTCCTTCAAATTAATATATACATATACAGCAATAATAATAATACAATACAGCAATGCTACTATTTTAGCACTGTGACTAAGATGCACACGAACTATGTACTGCTTCTAGATAAAAGTTGGCCAGTTTGTTAGCTGACCAATGTTTAATTTTAATCCATCATGACTTTGTATTGCCTGATGCATGCTTCTACTCATGGCTGTAGTCAGTTGCTCAGATATAAATGTAACATGGTCCTGATCTCTAAAATGGTAGGTTCCCCTAACAAGGTTATCCCTTCACTACTGATGGAAATACGTGGTGGTGTGGTGGCAGATAACTGGATGAGAACCACTGTTCTGGCATGAACTCTCCCTGATAATATCAGACTACTTAATTTATGTGACTGGCTAAACATGACAGAGGCAAGCTGAAAGCTGTTCAAAGGCAAAGGCACTAAGAAGAGTATCATCTAAGAAAAGAATAGATGGAGAATTCAGGTAAATTTGGCTCCTTAGCTAAATTTAGAAGAGACATGAGGAGAACAAGGGAGAATAAAGTGATTAAGGTTTCTGAACTTCAGGGCTGTAGCTACCTTGAGTTCTTCCTTAAATGTCTTGATACTCTTCCTCTTTCCTAATATGTGATGCTTCTCTACTTTTTTCTTTTTTTTTCACTTTCACAGAACTTTGTCCAAAGCTTAATACACCAGTTAACATCCACACTGTTTTATGACTAGGTTCATGTCTGCATCACCCACCAACATATAACTCCTTCAGAGAAATTAAAGAGACTTACTCATTATTGTAACCTCAATTTTTGTACTTATGTGTTGCCCTGCACATAAAAGACATTCAAAGAATGCTCACAAAGCTCTCAAATATCTATGCAGGTGAACTGTCCTTGTTCTAAGCAGAGTTCAGTATA